TCATATAAACACACACAGGATACGCCATCTATGAACTACTTGGACGTGAATTGTCGGAAATATGTACATGCACCACGGGAATAGTGCCGGGAGGGTAGGCCGAATGGTCGGACTGATGGGGGTGGACACGCCTGTCTCTTTTCTGGTTCAGAAATGTTTTCAATATTTTTTCAATAAATGTAATCTACAAATATTCATGGCAATGTTTCCCCTCCCCCCCCCCCTCACGCCTACGCCACAGCCATGGGTGTCCCCTGTCCATTTTTCGCTTTGTTATTAACATTTTGTTTATTGCTTATTTCATGTTCATTTTTTATAAATAGCAACCCTAATCCCGTATTATGAATAGCGAACCTCATCCCGTGTAATGAATAGCGACCCTAACTCTATAATATGAATATCGACCCTCATTTCGTATTACGAATACAACCCTCAATTCGTGTTATGAATAGCGACCCTCTACTCCTATTATGAATAGCGACCCTCATTTCATTATTAATAGCGACCCTCATTTCGTATTATGAATAGCGACCCCTACTTCTATTATGAATAGCGACCCTCATTTCTTATTATGAGTAGCGACCTTCATATCGTATTATGAATAGGGACCCTCATTCCGTATTATGAATAATGACCCTTATGAATAGCGACCCTTACGATTCCAAATTATGGACAGCGACCCTCATTTCGTGTCATGAATAGCGACACTCAACTCCTAATATGAATGGCGACCCTCATTTCGTTTTATGAATAGCGACCCTCATTTCGTATTATGAAAAGCGACCACCTACTCCTACTCCTTTTTTGAATAGCGACCCTCATTTCGTATTATGATAGCGACCCTCATTTCGTATTATGAATTGGGACCCTCATTTCATATTATGAATAATCACCCTTATGAATAGCGACCCTTACGATTCCACATTATGAAAGGCAACCCTCATTTCGTGTCATGAATAGCGACCCTACTCCTAATATGAATATCGAATCGCATGATTCTACATTATGAATAAAAACCATCTTTCGTGTAATGAATAGCGACCCTCTACTCCTAATATGAATAGCAACCCTCATCTCGTATTATGAATAGCGACCCTCATTTTGTATCATGAATAGCGACCCTCTACTCCTACTCCTATTACGAATAGCGACCCTCATTTCGTGTCATGAATTGGGACCCTCATTTCATATTATGAATAATCATCCTTATGAATAACGACCCTCATGATTCCACATTATGAAAAGCGACCCTTAATTTGTGTCATGAATAGCGACCCTCTACTCCTAATATGAATAGCGACCCTCATCTCGTATTATGAATAGCGACCCTCATTTCGTATTATAAAAAGCGACCACCTACTCCTACTCCTTTTTTGAAAAGCGACCCTCATTTCTTATTATAATAGCGACCCTCATTTCGTATTATGAATAGGGACCCTCATTTCGTATTATGAATAATGACCCTCATGAATAGCGACCCTTACGATTCCACATTAGGAAAGGCAACCCTCATTTTGTGTCATGAATAGCGACCCTCTACTCCTACTCCTATTACTAATATCGACCCTCATTCCCTATTATGAATAGGGACCCTCATTTCATATTATGAATAATGACCCTTATGAATAGCGACCCTCACGATTCCACATTATGAATAACGACCCTTATCTGGTATTATGAATAGCGGCCCTCATTTCGTATTATGAATAGCGACCCTCACTCCGTATTATGAACTGAGACCTTTACTCTGTATTATGAATATCGACCCTCATTTCGTATTACGAATAGCGACCCTCAATTCGTGTTATAAATAGCGACCTTCTACTCCTATTATGAATAGCGACCCTCATATCGTATTATGAATAACGACCCTCTACTCCTATTATGAATAGCGACCCTCTACTCATATTATGAATAGCGACCCTCATTTCGTATTATGAATAGCGACCCCCTACTCCTATCATGAATAGCGACCCTTATTTCGTATTATTAATAGCGACCCTCATTTCGTATTATGAATAGGGACCCTCATTTCGTATTATGAATAATGACCCTCATGAATAGCGACCCTCAAGATTCCACATTATGAATAGCGATCCTCATTTCGTTTCATGAATAGTGACCCTCTACTCCTTATATGAATAGCGACCCTCACCTCGTATTATGAATAGCGACCCTCATTTCGTATTATGAAAAGCGACCACCTACTCCTACTCCTATTTTGAATAGCGACCCTCATTTTGTATTATAATAGCGACCCTCATTTCGTATTATGAATAGGGACCCTCATTTCGTATTATGAATAATGACCCTTATGAATAGCGACCCTTACGATTCCACATTATGAACAGCGACCCTCATTACGTGTCATGAATAGCGACCCTCTACTTCTAATATGAATCGCGACGTAAATACAAGAACTATTTAATGAAGGAATTCCTATCGTAAGTTTAATTTAATTAGCCTGTACTCATTTGTTTATTTATTTACTACCCATTGTTTCTTTTCTCTGTACTTTGTATTATTATCTGAGGACACTGGAGCCCAGCCTTTGAAAGACCAATGGCCTCTGCTTGCTCCTCCATTTTATGTGTATTATTTATATTTATATATTTGCTTATATGTATAATGTATTGTTAAATGTATTTTTATACGAGATATGGAAATAAAACAATATGAACTTGACCCTCATTTCGTATTATGAATAGCGACCCTCATTTCGTATTATGAATAAAGACCCTTATGAATAGCGACCCTCATGATTCTACATTATGAATAGCGACCCTCATTTCGTGTCATAAATAGCGACCCTCTACTGCTAATATGAATAGCGACCCTCATCTCGTATTATGAATAGCGACCTTCATTTCGTATCATGAATAGCGACTCTCTACTCCTACTCCTATGACGAATAGCGACCCTCATTTCGTATTATGAATAGGGACCCTCATTTCGTGTCATGAATAGCGACCCTCTACTCCTAATATGAATAGCGACCCTCATCTCGTTTTATGAATAACGACCCTCTTCTCTATTATGAATATCAACCCTTATGAATAACGACCCCGATTTAGTATTATGAATAGCTCACATAGTAGCGGCAAAGACCCTCTGGTCTGATGATAAATAGCGGTCCTTATGAAAAATGAGCCTTTTCACAAATTATGAATGACAGACCTCGTGAATAGCGGACCTTATGAATAGCGGTCCTTATGAATTGCGACATTGACCCTAATTATAATGCACCTAACAAAATAAAACATAATATATGCGGGCCAGAAAAAATGTTTGAGACAGAAATTAAGCCACCCTTGTTATGGATATAACGTATACGGCGCCATGCAATAAAGGCCTACCAACTATAGGCGATTGCCCCCCCCCCCCCGCAACCTCAAACAGTTCAGGGCAATGCACAGCTAGGGGAAATTAGCCCCCCCCCCCCGTCGAAATGGCATACCTATATTTTCTTCTTCTTCTCCTCCTTATGGAATACCTAATTCGTATTCTTATTATTATAATCATTGTTATTATCATCATTATTGTTAATATTATAATTATTATTATTATCATTACTATTAATATTATTACTGTTATTACTATTATCGTTATTATTATTTTCTTCTTCTTCTTCTTCTTCTTCTTCTTCTTCTTCTTCTTCTAGTGAGTATAATTCATATTTCCTACCCCCTCAAAATGCATGCTCGCGCTCCTAATTACCCCCCACCCCCTCGCCTTGAAGCATTGACATGCAGCACTGGAACCAGTGCACACCTCAGCTCCTTGTTCAGCGTGCTTCGTGGAAAATCCCGTAAATATATATATATATATATATATATACTCTTACAGCTAGGTCTGCCTCTGATGTAGTTCATTCCATTGAGGGAAACAAATCTTAGTGAGAGAGAGAGAGAGAGAGAGAGAGAGAGCGTGTGTGTGTGTGTGTGTGTGTGTGCGTTTGTGTGAGGGGGCCGGGGGGCGAATTTTTTTTTCCCAAACAGGTTTACCTATGAGAGTAAAATCCTGCCTCCTGATTGGTTCAGAGGTATACGCATCATGAATATTCATGACTGAGCTGAAAGATACTAGTAGTATTACGCATGCGCGTGACACAAGGTGAAGCTGCTCATGCAGCTCATATAAATCCAAGTTTGAGTTCGTTGATGCAGCGCAGCTATAGTACGTAGGCTATACACTGCATGCATGGATATGCATGCGCAGTGATTGGCTCTGAGTTATAACTTTTACATGAGCTAAAAAAAAAGAGAGACTAATACCGTGATATTAATTGTGTGTTGGTGTCAGTTACGGGTGATAATATTAAATGTTTGTCAAGATATCATGCTCAGAGCAACACAGTGGCTTTGACCCACATCCAACCATCTCATGTCGGACCATCCTGATAAGATAATTCATACCCCTTGTGTGTGTCTATTGTGTATTCTATTTCTTGACAGCTAGTGTGTGTATTTGTTGCTTATGTGTTTGTAAATACATGAGGGTGGGTGGGTGTGTGTTTATAGAGAGAGAGAGAGAGAGAGAGAGAGAGAGAAAGAGAGAGAGAAAAGAGAGAGAGAGAGAGAAAAATAGTGTTTGTATGTATAGCCTATGTGTGAAATTAGAATATTAGTGTGTGTACTGTAAGTGAACTCTTTGAGAAAAAAAATCCGCAGTGTAAAACAATATAAACCAAGCACCAGAATAACCAGAAATGTTCACAAACAAACAGACCCCCCCCTTCCCCCAATAAAAATCCCCTCGCACCACAGCTAGCTCACATACATTTTGTACACCTAAATGGCCAGCAAAACTGAAGTCCACGCGCATGCGTAATACACATACTAGGTACTGCAGCTCAGCCACAGTGCTGAACTCAGCTCGTGAATATTCATGACGCGTATACCTCTGAACCAATCAGGAGGCAGGATTTTACTCTCATAGGTAAACCTGTTTGGGAAAAAAAAATTCGCGGCCGGGGGAGTGGTGTTAGTCTGCAAGCACAGACCCTAATTTGACACTTTATCAAAAATCATTGTGCCTTGAGAGAAGCCTAGCCCCGCTACCTACTGGTTGTGTTAGAAGCAGCTATAGTACATTGCCTATAGTAGTCTTATAGTGCAGACTCTCTTTTACGACTGACCAGGGTTTGTGCTTGCAGACTAGAGTGGTGTGCGTGTGTGCGTGTGTGAGCGCGCGTGTGTCCTTTCCAATCGTGTTTGTCAAGCCGTGTGAAGTCAGTCGTGGCTATGCAGAACTGATTTACTCGATCGGTTTCTCCTTCTGCATGTTGGATGTCCACCTCGGTTGCTGGTGCACCCATCGAGATCCGTGTATTCGCAGGCTCTTGCTCGACTGTACTGACCCCTTTCTGGTCATGGGTAAGTGAATAAGCCATGTTTGGACATACAGTTGGGTTTCTTTAAGCTAAAGCTTGTATAGTTTGGCTGTAAAGTTGGAAAATTGCACTTTTTTCTAAAATCCATAACTTCGGCTTATTTGTGCTAAAAATTTGAAAGGATGTAAAAAAAAAAAATAGAAAAAAAAAAATGATTTTTAATTTTTTACCACTTTTTTTAATTTTTTATTATGAGTAATAAACCTGTTTAATGTACATTTGAAATATGGATAGGGCCCTTGGAGCCTCAAGCCATGTGAACCAACAAGCTTTGCTTTTTCTTGTGGGTTCCTTAACTTAACTTGGTCTTTGACTTACAAGTGAATATAAACAAATCAGTTGATTTATCTAAAAAACCTTTCTTCTAATACTTTAAAAAGAAATAAAAATCCTCTTCAGAGGCATTTATTCGGGTATAAAATATATTTAACAACAAATAATTCAAACAAAGATATACATTTACTTTACACCTCAAATCTTGAAATCTTTACAATCAGATAAAATCAAGGAGTATAAAATTGAAGGGAATTTGATATAACATCTGAAATGTTATCCAAACACAGTTTATTTAAAAAAACATGCCATATTGCAAGACTGTTGTAAGTTTTTTTCTGAAAGTAGTACATTTTATATTGTGCATATGTAATAATTACGTTTATATCTTTAGTGTTTGAACAATAAGAATCTGCACCATCAATCAGGCATTTTTCGTTTATTATTATTATTTCCATTTCATTTCTAACATCCTAGACATACAAAATGTCAATATATTTAAGTTCACTCCAGCATACGAGGCAATTAACATAAAACTCAGGTAGATTGTGTTTTGAACATAAAATCAAAATATCTTTGCGAGAACAGTTTGATTTTAAAATCAATGACAACGGACATATTTTTCAATCCAGAATTTAAACATAATTTCCCACGGTGTATTTTGGTTATTTTCAAAGAACATTGATAACCATGGTAAATGCAGGGATTGGAACTTTGAACCCAAGTCTTTCATACCTACGCCTGCATTTTCAGTTGTATTTATGAAGACTGATCTCTTTATCTTGTCTCTTTTGAATTCCAAAGGAAATTATGAATCAATTTGTTCAAGTCAACAATATTTTTTTGAGAAAATGGGTAATAATGAAGCAACATACACAAATTGTGAAATTATAAGTGATTTAATTATAACAACTTTACCATAAATGGTTACATTTCTTATCTTCCAGATATTTAGGATCGATTTAACTTTTTTGAAGTTTCACTGACCAGTTCAATCGATCACATTCTTTTTTAAATTTTCAGTTAGGTATGTACCTAAATACCTGAGTGGATTATAATTCCTTCTTAATTATTTTATAAATTCTATTTGAGGTGTCGTTGTTATTGAACCTGGACAATTGGAGACAGTGCGTCCCAAAAAAACGAAACCGAGAATCATCGATGATTTATCATAACTTAATCACAAATATAATTGATAAATGACACGTATTTGTAAATCTTAGATCCCCCTCTTCCATTTGATGCAACTCATATAATGCATATTTCACGCGTGAGTGATTAAAATGAATTTAAAGAAAGGAAACCAAAAAGTCATTTGGCGGACGGTATCTGAATTTCAATTTGTTTTCATAACATTTAAAGCTAAAGACCAGTTATGGTCTTGCGATTGCATTGTGAAAGAAACATTGTGAAATCGATCAGAAAAGGTTGATCATCTAGCTTGGATGTACTGCAAGGTTCTGGAATCATCAAAATGATGAGAAATTTGGCCAAGTCTTCATGAAGTTAGAATTACTGTACACAGAAAGATGTATATGGGACTACACACATGTGCGCGACACGTGCATTTGTATCTCTTAACAGGCGAGAGATACACAAATTTACCAAATATATCAATTAGTTGGCGGTTTCCCGTCAACATTTTTATCATCATGTATTATTAAAAACATATTCTTTCACATGATTGGTAATAAGAGCTTCCATTTCATTTTTTTTTAAATTGGGGCGTTTCCAATACTGGTCTTTATCTTTAAGCTTGGCCCGGCAAATTGTCCAAACCTTGCAGAGACGACCGTGATACCATGTATTTCATTATTTTGCATAATTTTTAAGGTCATTACTTCAACAACAAGGATGAATAGTAACGCAGAAAGCGTCTTTTACATAACACCTTCGCTAAGATCTTTTATTCAGTGTTCAGTAATAATATTATTCTCCAGTTGTTCAAACTCTGTGTATCCCCTTTCTTATATAATAAAGTTAGTATGTAATTTAGCGGTAAGCAGCGTTATTTTTATATATTTTGTTCGTTGTTGTCAGTTTTTGTTGGTCTCCATTTGGGGTGCAACTCCAAGAAGGGCACTTTTCCAAGCGTGGAGAACATGAATCGAAAGTTGGATTTTCCTGAACTATCCTCTATGGCAACTTATTTAATAACATTATTAGTACCTTCTCCAATGATACGATAAACATTTTACAGCCTGCCCTTGCTTTATCGATGATTTATCATAACTTAATCACAATAATAATTGATAAATGACATATATTTTTAAATCTGAGAACCTCCTCTTTCATTTGATGCAGCTCATATAATGCACATTTCACGCATGAGTGATATAAAAAAAGAGCCATTTTGTGGACGGTATCTGAATTTCGAAGAGAAAATCACATTTCCAGAGAGTTGGGTTTCTGCCCTTTCATATGACACCTCAATCAGGAAAAATAAGCTAGTAATAACAAAGTTCTGTTTGTTTAAAGTTATTACTGTAGTGCTTGCATTTCCATATTGTTTATTAAACGAATTCGTTTCCACTGGCTGCCTGCCGTATTAACAAACGGATCAGCCGTAGACGAAAGAATGCACGCATGGCTGATTGTCAACGAAACGTAGTTAAGTCTTTTGTACGTTTTGCTTGTTGCTACGGCAGGCAGCCAGTGAAAACGAATTCGTTTGATACACTACACTACTTCGCACTACTCTAAACAAACATAATTTGTCATTATTTGCTCATTTTTCCTGATTGAGGTGTCATATGAATGGGCAGAAACTTTCTAGAAATGTCATTTTCTCTTTGAAATTCAGATACCGTCCGCCAAATGACTTTTTGTTTTCCTCTCTTCGAATTGATTTTAATCACTCATGCGTGAAATATGCATCATATGAGTTGCATCAAATAGAAGAGGAGTATCTAAGCTAAGTGTCATTTATCAATTATAAATGTGACTAAGTTATGATAAATCATCGATAATGCTCGGTTTTGTTTTTTCTGAGACGCGCTGTACTATGAATCAATAGAAAATTTACACGATAATCAAACATTCTTTTATTTTCATAGGTGGAGAAGTTTCACGAAGAGAAATGGGGATAATTTTCATCGTGTTTGGGTTATTGGCTGTCTCTGTTCTGCCGTATACATCTGCAGAAAAAGCATGTAAGATAATTCTTATACTAGTATTAGTCCAATTCAACTGACCAATGAAAACGATTTGCTAAATAGCTGAATGAATAAGTATTTCGTCGTCAAAATGTTTCTTAATTGGACTCATTCATATTTTACTTACAAAATGTCATGTAGTTGAAACTAGATAGAGTACAAATTGCAACAAGGAATTTAAAATAGATGATAATCTTTCATAAAAATGTATAAATATTGCTAATTTGAAGTTATTAATGCGTACTTCGTAGAAATGATTAATATCATGCACATTGAGACGTGCTCTTCGCTATTGTGGATTTGGTATAGATTGAACTTAATAATTTCTTTGTATCTTTTCATTGTTTATGATAAAAAAACCCAGCATAATTCATATAAATGTGAACATGATTATATTTTACAACATAAAAATTGCACACAAACGTTGCATTTAAAAAAAAACTTAACTCCCTTGGGGATCATTCGGGCCAGGCGACATTTTACAGACACAATGATGAACAAATTACACTGGGTATCTGATATACTTGAGTGCTACACATTTGGTCTGTCGGCTAAAAAAAGAGTAGTACTTAATAATGGTTCGGTTGTAGAGCAGTGGTCTCGTCACCTGGCGGTCACGGGTTCGAAACTAAGTCGACGCTAGTGCTCTTCGGTAAGGTATTAATCCTCATTAGCAAGTCGCTCGGAGAGGACTTAAAGTCGGCGTTTCACTGGTTCCCTACTTACGAGCATAAACACACTTTCTTAGCATTCAGGTAAAACAAAACAATTGGAAGTTATTCAGGAAGAAAATATTATTTATACCCCGTTCTCTATTTCGGTAGACTTTTTAATTTCTGATTATTTTGTACATGGATGAGGATATGAAACGGCATTTAAATCCCACCTGCACTAGTTTGGACAGGGGGATTAGAGCTCCCACTTGGTCACTGACAGGTTGTTATCTCATCAACTAAGCTCTCAATTAACATTTGAAAAGGGGATCATGGGGGACCAACGGGCACCGCTTAGGCATTGTTTTCTATATAGAGGGAGTAAGTAGCTACAAGTAGTGCAGTGGGGCTTTAATACAAATATTATTACAGTTTTTTGTCATGGGGGGGGGGGGGCAGGAATTCGATTGAATCTAGTAAATTCTTATATTCCTGTTCTTTATGCATGAGATAATTTTGCCTAATTAGCGGGATTGCAAACAGAATATTAGGCGTTTCACTTAAGTAACAGAGCTACAGAAACCTTTTTCGTATCTTTAGGTAAACATGGAACTGGGAGGACTTTTCATGCTTCTTGAATCTGCGAATTAGGTCCACCCTCTTTAAATACGTTTTTTTTTAGAGATGTCTCTCTCCGTTTCATTTCCTTTAGATATGCTTTTATTTTTTCTGCTATCTTGGTATACTCTCGCATTGTCATTGCACACCATGTCGCGATATTCCCCTTCTAGTTACTTACTGTTTTCCTTAGTCTGGTACCTTCTACTTTTCCTTCGAAAAATCTTTCACGATTCTGGCAATTGCTGGGATAAGAATAATTGCAGGGCTCTAAGGAAGAACATCGTTTATGCCTTGGCTTCTTTGGTTTAAAGATATTATTACCTTTTTTGAAATCACTCTTATTACCATTTCATTATTATTTTATTATTTTCATCGTTATTATTTTTATTACAATTATTATTATTATTATAATTATTATTATTATTATTATTATTATTATTATTATTATCATTATTATTATTATTATTATTATTATTATTATTATTATTATTATTATTATTATTATTATTATTATGAATTCATTGCACAGATACCAGCGTCACTGTAATAGAACTAGAATGGAACGAAACCACCGTCATATCTTCACCCGGCTATCCATCCTACTACAAGTCGAACCTAGACCTTACTTGGGTACTCACTGCTCCAGTGGGTCATATCCTCCAGATACATATCCTAGACCTGGCCCTAGAGACGGACTACGACTACTTGTACATTGGTTATGGGCCTGGTCCCAATAAACCTGGTTCTTGGGAGCTTCGGAAACTGACTGGGTATAACTATTCCAGTGAACCCGCTACACCCAGTCACTCTATGTGGGTCAGGTTTACCACGGATGTCTCAAGGGGAGATATTGGCTTCAGTCTTCGTGTCACAGCTATACTAAACCCTGGTAAGTTCATATTAGACATAGGTTCTGCTCCTTAATAGGTGTCGTGGCCTAGTGGATACGTCACCGGACTGTGGATGATATGGTTTGCGTTTCGAGTCCCGCCGAGGCACTAATGACCTTTGGCAAGACATTAATCTATCTTTGTTAATATCCTTCCAGACATAGTAAATGGCAACCCAGTAGGAATTTATTCCTTGAATCCTTTTAACCCCTTAGGGCAACAGGGCTAAAACAAGAGTTATAATTTTACTTTGTAGGCTCCTTGAGCTTCCTCTGGGATGAATGTGTGTTCAATATAAATGTAGCTATTATTCTTCTTATTATTTCTTAGTTATGTTTCTTATTAGCACCCCATGGGACACTCGGGGCACGCAAGACGATTTAATTTGGCTGATCATAATGTTAAATAGTCAAAAAGAAAGAAAATTCTCCACTCCTGTAAGTGGATGCATAATACCATTTCACTGATTATTAACGCATCAAAATGTTACTTCCCTCACTCACAAAAAGTCAATTATATGATATTTTACCTAGAATGCTTTGATGAAATAAATTATCAAAAATGAAAGTAAAAATATAGAGTATCCTTCAATTTCATATGAAGCAAGAGGGGAAATATTCCACTAACACTAGATAGTTTTTGGTGAAGTGTAATACACAGAGGCCTGTAATAAAACGTAATTTCAGAAATATTCCTTTCCCGTCTGATAAATAAGTTAAGAACCATTCAAATAGACACTGCGCTGACAGAGGTTGTTAAAGATAGGTAGGCCTACGATAATTGGTTTGCCAGTTATGCTTAAACGTATATTCTTAAGACATCTAACGAAAACCGCATGTTGTATCAAAGTGAGGTCGTGCCTTATAATATTTGATTTACTGTCCAGAGTGATTATTTCAATTATACTCAAAATATTCCATTAGGGCTCCGTCTTATAAAGAGTTGGGATTGATCCGCATCAATCGCAAGTTTAGAGTCTCCTACCTCTTATGTACATTCTTGCGATTGATATCAATCGCATCTAAGTTGCGATTAATATCAACTCTTTATAAGACGGGGCCCAGACATTATATTGCTATTCAAAATCTATCAGTTACAGTACACGATAACAAATTGTTTACTAGAGTTGAGACTATCTATAATTCGCTGCTTTAAATATTTCATGACAGAATGCAGCAGCGGTCAAATGCAATGTTCGAGTGGACTGTGTATCAGCGAATCGGCAAGGTGTGACGGATATAATGACTGTCTCGATTTCTCAGATGAGGAATACTGTCGTAAGTTTTTATTGACGTTTACATTCGCTTCTCAATTAATTTCTATCGTTATAAATGTTACATAAAATTTACATTTCCTTCAATTGTATTACACACCTATCTATCTTTATAATTATATTGAGGGAGTTTCTATACTTCTGGATTTTTACTTTAGAGAGAGGTTTTTTTTCCCCTGTGTTTTTGTTTACCAGTTCCCCAAACACATTAAGCCTTTAATGACCTTCAGCGGTGGAACTATTTTGATTGCCCTTTTTTTGCTGTTAATGTGTCTATATGTTGTCTGCTTTCCTGATTTCTCTGACCTGTTATCGCTGTTGGTTTACCCTTCATTGATTGATTTTTCTCCTACCCAGCGTACTGCGAACAAGTTCAATTTGATATATGTAGACAGAGCCTGGCCTATAATTTGACTTTTTTCCCGAATCGGAACGCAGAGACAGCAGACGCTGCAGCGGGAAACTTTACAGACATGGTAAGCAGCGGAACGTATTTTAATTGTTTTATAAAGAAATGTTGAGTTAATTCTTTATTATTGATGGGTTTGTCGAGAATGTCGGTGGTTTTCAGAGATAATGCCAGGAACGATTAATTAATTGGTTTTAACTTCAGTAAAACATTGCCTTACTACGATTATTGACCTGCATATCAACCAATGAATTTGGTATTTGTTAATACGCATTCAATAATTTTGTATAAGTGATTCTATTCAAGGGGATATGCATGGTAGCAAGGACAATCACACAGAAGGATGTATATTTTAGAGACGTAACGACTGAAAATATGTTGGAGATTTTTTTTTTGATGTAATATTTATTGTTTGTCTGAAAATACATAATTTATGTTATATTTGTGGGTTTTAGGCATATAATTACGGTCAGATGAGCATACTTTCATACCCTATTTGTGACACTGGCAGGTCACTAATTGGCCTGGGGTCCAGGGGGCGGACCCCCAGTAAGCTCAGGGGTTTTAGGCAATAAATTATCGTCAGATGATCATCTATTTATAGGGACCCGCCTCAGGCCCCTAGGTGGATCTAGGGGGCAGAGCCCCCGGAAGCTTAGGGGTGTTAGGTATTTAATTACGGTCAGATGAGCATACTTTGATACTAATTTTGGCGGGGGGGGGGGGTAAAGCCCGCTCGGCCCCCCCCCCTTCCCCTGGATCTGCGCCTGCGTGGTCTCCCCTACCACTTGCAAGAGCTGCTGGCTACACTGACGATGTTGAATTACCATACACAAACTACGTTGCAATGACGTGAAATTCTCAAAGTTTATACTTTCTAATGACCTACCCTAGGGAACTACTATATCATCGTGCCATGATCACCTGTTCCCTTTCATGTGCTCCGTTTACTATCCGGAATGCACCCATAACGGCCCCACCCATCGGGTGTGCTACTCCGACTGTTTGGCAGTCACTGATGCCTGCAAGGCATCCTTTGAGCAACTCCTCGACCGTCCTTGGCCCGTCAACTGCTCGTTGTTTACCGATGAACAGGAGGAAGATGGGAGCTGTTTTGGCCCTGCGGGAGGTAAAGACGGTGCACACATATTCATGTAGATGATATCGAGTTCAGAATATGCTTGAACTTAACAAGATGCACTAAGTGTTTATAAATGATAGTTCATAAAACCGAAGAAAAGATATCAGCATTTTCTATTGAATTCATCACATGTGGCAGTGGCGTACAGCTAATGAGATGGGGATTGCGGCACTGATCTTACTGCCAAGTGGGTTTTTAGAGAAACATGAAAATCAGCAACCAAATGATACGTGGATTGGAGGGTATTCAAAGATGGTCTATCATCTTCTGTGGGCATCCTTTCCCCTCCTCTTTTCATTTTATTTTCGATGTATGCTTTGTTTAGTTTCATTTGCTTTGGGGGGAGGCAAAGGGGTGCTATTCAAATTGAGTGGATGTCCCTTCCATTCCCGTCGTTGTGCCACTGACTTGCAACTTTATCCCTCCCCCAGATATTTTCGATACCAACATATGCGGGACACGCCCTGCATACGCACCAGACCAAAACAGGGTTCTTGGTGGTACCAACGCACGCCAAGGGGAATTCCCTTGGATTGGTTCACTCCGCATCGAAGGATTGGATTTTGGAGGACATTGGTGTGGGTCTACCCTGATTAACTCTCAATGGGTTCTTACCGCCGCTCACTGCGTGTAAGTATGATGCCACTATGAAATCGTTTGCTCTGTGGAAATGAAAGCAAATTGACACCTTACCTTCACAGGGATATTTAATTCGTTTAATTTATATAGAAACGAACGTGTTTACCTTAAGAGTGCATGTACTATAACTAAACAAAGTATGCACTGAGTTTTCGTCTAAATAATCATAGTCATGAAAATATATATATAAAGTAGTCTATCACTAGTAGTCAATATCTGTACACCCAATTATATATCTCTTCTTCAGAACAGATCAACCCAATTACAATATCATGTAAAAGGCATTAAGCAACATTTTATTGAACGTTGCGCTATATGAAAAGTAATTGTATGTATGTATGTATGAAATAAATAGAACCAGTAAACCCAAAGCGTAGCATTCACTCGCAGGGTATAATGGCCTAATACGTCAGAACAAGTTACCTTAAAGGTAAAGACCAGTAATGGTCATGCGATTGCATTGTGAAAGAAACGTTGTGGAATCGATCAGAAAAGGTTGATCATCTAGCATCTAGCATCTGCAAGGTTCTGGAATCATCAAAATGATAAGAAATTTGGCCCATTCTTCGTAAAGTTACAAGCACTATACACAGAAAGATGTATATGGGACTACCCTATCTCTCTCACCAGACCATGAGAGAAATAAGTTTACCAAATATATGAATTAGTAGGCGGTTTCCCGGCAAATTTTTTATCATCATGTATTAGTCAAAACATATTCTTTCACATGATTGGTAATGAGAGCTTCCATTTCATTTTTTGAAATTGGGGCGTTGCCAATACTGGTCTTTACCTTTAATTAGAATATAATATTATATTACTAGGAAAGGAAGTTAACCACATTTTCGCATAATAATTAGGTATTTTCGCATATTTAATGAGTTATGACCATTCAACATTGACCTACATACTCCGAAATCGAACTTAGGCTGTATTTTCATGCATGTACCTTCATATCAAATTTCATTAAAATCCGTCAAACATAACTAAAGCTATCGAACGGAAACCAGATTCGCATTTTTAATGAGCTATATGACATTTGACTTACATACTCCGAAATATAACTTACGCTGTGTTTTGAAACCATGTACCTTCATATCAAATTTCTTTAAAATCTGTCAGACATTACTAAACTTATCGAATGGAAATCAGATTCGCATATTTAATGAGTTATGACCTTTGACCTACATACTCCGAACTCGAACTTAGGCTGTGTTTTGATACCATGTACCTTCATATTAAATTTTATTAAAATCCGTCAAACATTACTAAACTTATCGATCGGGAACCAGATTTGTTACGGAAGAACGAACGGCAGCGTTACTATACCCCCTCCGAGTATAACTATCAGATGACGGGATTGCACTTCAGTGTTGTTACAAAATTATGTTTAATTTAGAGACTTACATTGACATGACGGTATAACGTCCGATGTATTAGGAGCTAGTTAATTCCCCTGTGAGACATAGCAGATACAATGTTTGTAATATATAATGAAATTATGATGTACATGTATGAAACTACAGTAAATATATAATATATATCATGCTCAAATAAATGCAGCTCCATTAAAATGTCCTTTTGATATACATGATTATATTTCGCCCTTGTAAAAATCAGTGATTTTACATCCACTATCATTTATAGTGAATACTACGTCGATCGTGTGGTTTTTGGGAACGCACATTTGACGGATGACTCCGACAACGAGGTAGCGGTTGAGGTGGCTGATATTTTCGTCCATCCCGAGTACGACAACAATTGGTTCTTCAACGACATCGCTCTGATACGACTTGCTGAACCGGTGACATTCAGTGACTACGTTAGACCCGCGTGTCTCTCGGAATCCTCGGATGAACTCAAGGACTATCGTCGCTGCCTCGTCGCTGGATGGGAAACATTGAAATTGTATAGCCGACGTATGTACTGCTTTACTTATATTTGATAATGATTATAATAATTACATTAATGTATATAGCGCAGCTACTCTACTGCTCTGTAATGAAACAAAATCCTAACAGTGCTACTAAACAGACAAACAATAATGAATAAACCTTTAGCCAATCAATTCTCTAGGTTATCTGATTGAAAGAAATGTTATATCCAAAAGGCCTCTTTCAAACAGGGAAGCTTTGAACATGCCCTTTAGTAGTTCTTCTTTACGTAGATCTGAAAACTTATATCCAATATGATTTCATCCACCTAACTTGATACCCTTATTCACCTAATTATTATTAATTAATGTATTTATTGGATGGAATAAAAATGAAAAATCATGCTAAATAGCAGTGCTGAATCCACTCTACCTTTCTATAACTCTTTAAATGGTTTCAAACGTTTAATGATAATTAGATTTGAAATTCGTTTGCTTACAGAAGATGTAAACGATGATTTACTTTAATATTTCGCAGCGTTGGCAGAGAGCTTGAAAAAAGCAGTGGTGACCCTTCTTGACCAAGACCGGTGCAATTCTGAACTTTTCTACAACGGGTCTCTGGCAGAAGAAGAGATATGTGCTAGATATGCGCCAGGTGGAATTGATGCTTGTCAGGTAACTGCTATCTATGGCGCAGCCTGAGTTTAGTCATGTGTGCGGGGGGGGGGGGGGACAGGTGTCATGGGAGCGGGTATCGGACACAATAGGCAACTGTTATGAGGTTTGAATTAAAGAGAATGCTACTACTACTTCTACTACTACTACTACTACTACTACTACTACTACTAATACCGCTACTACTTACACTTCTACTAGTATTACTAAAAATGAATATAATGAAAAATCTAGATTTATACATGGATAGTGCTTAAAACAAAATACCGTGTCTAAGCGCTTTAAAAATATTATCATCCCGGACAATGAATTCATTCATACGCAAAATATGCAGCATCTCCACTCTTTGGGGAGTATTCCTACCACAGGGTCACCGTGAGGGCATAACGAAATAACTATCACACAGGCTTCGTGCTCCTACAGTGTCCACATTTGATCCTGGGTATGGAGTGGCAGATGTAGATTAATGCCTTGTCAAAGGACATCAGTGCCGTGCCAGGAGTCAAACCCATGACCTTCGAATTTCCAGTATAGCCATCAAACCTCTCTACTACGACAGCATGGAAGGAGATAAGGGCATAGGATTGAGTCATTACCTTTTACCCAAGTTGCTTTTCTGCTCTCCCATCATTTGTTATTTTCATTAGACCGATTATTTGGGCTGTACTCCCGTTTCCCTCATAACTGTGACACTGACTGCAGTGGTATTTTTTTTTTACTTAGTTATTTTCAATTTTATATCCTTTTTGTCTTTGTTTCAGAATTTGGACACACTGACTAACATACCCCTTTAATATATATCAAACTGCCAGGTTCCGAATACATGTACTTTTTTCGAAAGCTACACTAATGTGTGTGGTCCTATGTACAGGCCCGTAGCCAGAGTTTGATTTTTTATTTATTTATTTATTTTTTTTTTTTGGGGGGGGCACATACGTGTAATCGATCGAGGTAAAAAAAGGGATCTAAAAAGTTCAACCGATCTTGGATTTTTTTTTTTTTTGGGGGGGGGGGGGGGTCACGTGCCCCCCCCCCCCCCCCCTCCGTGGCTACGTGCCTGCCTATGTAGGATATTTGTTTAGTTTGCAAGTCATCCAATTCAATTGTATTATCTCGTGTTTATTACTACAAAAATCAGGGAGACAAAGGTGGGCCTTTGACCTGTGAGGGTGATGATGGTCGATGGCATCTGGTCGGATCAACAAGCTTTGGATGCGCAGGATCACTCTCGGACAGCATCTACACCCGAATCTCACAGTTCCAGTCATTTATTACAGCTGTGGTTTCAGGAGGTGAGTACACCTGTGCAGGAGAATCATGATCGGAAGACTTTCAACAACAACAACAACAACATAAACAACAATACACGGCAATTTTAAAAGCCTTTGTCCACCACCTACTGAAATGTGCTTGCATTACAATGGCGTATTACAAAATCCAATGATTTTCTACATGCCATTGAAATTGATGAGGAGTTGATTCTTCGAAATATTTTGGGATTGTATGGAGAGGACTTCGGCTAAAGGTTAAACCAATGAATGTATGTGCGACTGGCCAATTATAGCTTTCTGAAGCCTTTTGGTTCCCATTATTGTATTTGATCAACTGGCCCCTTTGACCGTGAATAATGATAATATTAATAATAATCTATATAGAGCATTTTCCATAAACGTGTTCAAATGCGCTTTACAGTTATATTGTTAACAGAAAAGTAAAGTTTTGAGATAATTTTTGAAGGTATTGACAGTTTGGTGGCTACGAAGTGATCGGTAGGTTATTCCACAGTTTGGGAGCAGCATCTGTGAAGTGAAGTGGCCCTCTTGCCAGCACATCAACCTGCCCTTCGATAGGAGTCCTAATTCTTCCGATTATAAGTTCACAGTAGTTATACATAGCTAGCAAATTATCGGCGTGTGGAAAAGATCCCAAGCGTCTCTTCCAGATGATTAATGACCTGTTGAGTCCATCCAAGTCTGTTGCTCTTCCTTCTCACGATGATGATGAGGAGTTAGCTAATCAGTTTAGTGCATTCTTCTTGGATAAGATTCGGTCAATAAGAGAGACAATTGAGAGTAGACAAGAGCGGCCCGAAAACCGCGGGCTGAGAAATGCATCGGCTTGTGATTCTGAACTATCAACATTTGAGCCTGCTGAGATTGAAGACATTATAAGGATAATACGTACTACTCCAAACAAATCTTGTCAGTTGGATCCTGTTCTAACATGGATCATTAAACAACTATCAGCAACTTTTGTTTGTGGTATCATGAACATAGTGAATTCATCTCTTCAGGCCTCAGAAGTACCTGATGACTTCAAGCATGCCGTGGTCATTCCCCTGCTGAAAAAGGTTAGCTCAGATCCTGAACAGCTTTCTAACTACAGTCCTGTTTCAAATCTGCCATTCGCTTCAAAAGTTCTTGAGAGAGTTGTTTTCATCAGCTGGTGGACTACATGGAATTCTACCACCTCATGGAAGTCATGCAGTCGGCGTATAAGATCGGGCATAGTGTTGAAAGTGCTCTTTTGAAAGTTTCAAACGACATTCTCACTGCTATCGACAAGCACCAAATGGTGCTGCTTGTAATGTTGGACTTATCCGCTGCGTTCGACACCATCGATCATCAAGTCTTACTTAAAAGACTTTCCGAAAGGCTTGGTGTAAAAGGTTCAGCTTTGCGTTGGATTGAATCATACCTTTCTGGCCGATCTCAGGTGGTGCGTTTTGGTGACAATATATCTGAACCTTGTCCTCTCAAGTGTGGGGTACCTCAGAGGTCGGTCTTAGGCCCGCTACTCTTTACTATCTACATATTACAACTTGGATACATCACTTGTTACCATCAGGTTTAGTTTCATTTCTACGCTGATGACACCCAACTCTATCTCACATTTCGTCCAGGGGATGCTTCGGCTAACTTCGATCAGATGGAATCATGTATGAGTGACATACAAGCATGGTTGAGTTCTAATTTCCTTAAACTGAATCCAGAAAAGACTCAAATGCTGGTGCTTGGATCTCGTCACAATCACTCAATTGTTTAACCTCGAAATCTGAACAATGGTGGTCATACTATCTCTCCATCAAGTTCAGCTAGGAATTTGGGAGTCGTCTTTGACCATCTGTTCAATACGGAAAAGCATGTTTCTGTCATTTGCAGAAGTTCAAATTTCCACCTTCGGAATGTCAGGAGAATCCGTAAATACATGTCGAAGCAGACTAAAGAACAGATCATCCATGCCTTGGTAACTTCCAGATTGGACTGCTGTAACGCCCTCCTGGTCGGTGTCCCTTCCTCAGCCTTTTCTCGTTTGCAGCGAGTACACCACAACGCAGCCCGTGTTCTTACTAAGACAGGGAAGTATGCTCGAATAAGTCATATCCTTCGTCAATTGCACTGGCTACCGGTAAAGAGGAGTATCGTGTTCAAGATTTGCTTGACTACCTTCAAAATTCTGCATGGTCAGGCTCCCCAGTACCTCTCTGAGATGGTATCAGTAACGCAGTCAGTGAGGTCACTTAGGTCTTCAGAGGCTACGAGACTAGTCGTGCCAATGACAAGAACGGTGACGTATGGAGACAGGACCTTCGCAAAAGCCGCACCTCTGGAACTCTCTTCCTTCTCATCTTAGACAATTAGAATTCACAGAACAATTTAAATCACAGTTGAAAGCGTATTTATTTATCTGATGTTTAAGTTTCATGACCTAAAGAACTATATTATGTTGAACTGTATTATGGATATATATATATATATATATATGTTTATCCAATACTTGAATTTATGTTTATATAATTTTTGAATTCCTGTTTATCTAAGATTTAAGTTTAATTACGTGTAGAAATAATATCTGTTGAACTGTTTTGAGTAATCTGCTTATATATGTTGTCGCGCCTTGATCGGAAGTTTCGGATACGTGCGCGTTATATATTTATATTATTTAGGTGATACGTACGTAGACGTATCACCTTTTGATTTCGTCAAGATTTTTATTATTTATTTATTTATTATTATTTATTATTATTCTTCCTCGAATTTGTTCGCAGGATATCTCAAGACTGAATAAAGCCATTATCATGAAACTTGCCATGATGATAGATCTTAGTCTAACTTAGAACTGCGTGACTTTTTAGAGAGTCAAAATTATCGTGACGTCATCCAGGCGCCATTTTGTGAAAATCAACTAATGATCATATCTTCATAACGGAAAAGTATTTCTCATTCATAATTATCACGATTAAGATAAATGTCCGTCCGGTCAAGTTGAGGTCAATAAAAGTGCGCAAATGCGCGCGTGCGCGTTCGTCGGCGCGTTTACGCGCGCGCAAAAATTTAAAAAGCTCCAAATCATCCCAAATTTTTTTTGCATACGTTTCAGGCCATATGGAGCATTTGATAAAAAAATTACGCACACGCGCATTCGCGCGCGTTTTCGCGCGTACTGGCATTTTGCAACATAGAATCGCCGATTTTGTTCTGTCATCATATTCGGTACATTTTTCCAAGCATTTTGATAATTTGTTCACCTTTTATTAACGCAATGAGCGTCCGTCAAAGTTGACAGCACGCGCGGATTTGCGTTATCTTTATCCACAATACATGGGCAAAAACATGCCTATATAAAATTCATTGTAACTCTTTAGAATAGATAGAAACTTCTAATATTTTTTGATATTTGGATAGATTATGAGTCGGAGATATGATTTCATGTCTCATTTTATCCTCAATTAACTCATGACGTCATCATAATGGCCTCCAAACTCAAAATTTCAATTTGCATATTATGACGTCAGCATATTTTTGGAAAATTGATTGTATCTCTGTAAATATGGATCAATTTTCTTTTTAATTTTAATATGTTCTAGCTGAGAAAATTTTCTACAAATGTAGTTTTCACAATTGTTATTTTTGACAAAAGTATCATGGTGTATTTTTGCGATTAAAGGAGGCATGTCAATTTTTCGCATTTTGCGTGTATTCTCTGAGGGACATGACTTTTTCTCAAAACTGGATTCTACACTCCTGTCTTTCGCGAGCAAAATCTCCGTTGTTTTAGCTTTGTTTTCGCTGAGCTTTGGATATGTTTTAGCTGAGACAATGAGCTATCAAAAGTGTGCCTTTTATTTTTCGATTAGATGCCGGGATCATGCTCATATTTCACTTGCAAAGTAGGATTTCTGAATTCCATTTCCCGTTTACGTGTAATCGCTATGGGAGATGTTTTGGTATATCGGTAACGCACTTGACTTCCAACCTCGAGATCCCTGGTTCGAGTCCGGGTGTCTCCAACACTTTTTTTTCTTCACTTTTTTTTCCTTTTGACCTTCACTGTACCATCTCCTTTGATTATTTAAACACGTAGATTCGCAAATAATGTCATAAATAACCCTTTTTACTTTATTATTACCCTATTTTCACTTAATCCATTACTTTTTGCGTGTAATCCCTATTGGAGATGACTTTTTCTAAAATCTGGAGTCTACATTCCTGTCTTTTGCGAGCAATATCGCCGTTATTTCGGCTTGGATTTTGTTGATTTTTGAGTATGTTGTAGCTGAGACTATATGCTATCTAAATCAACCCTCATTTTTTCAATAAGATGTCATGATCGCGCTCATGATCATAATCATGATCATCACGATCATCATTATCATAATGATGCTAATCATTTATCAATTACATTTTCATTTCTTTGAATAAGATAAAATCGTCAAAAGGTGTTCTTCATGATGTAAATTAGAGTCAAATGTGTAACTTGTTACTGCACAGGGTCAAAGGTCATATATTGTTTCAATCTATCTTCCCTAGATCCATGATGATCAAGGAGACACAATTTAATCTTGACATATGAATAGATCATAATGGGAGAAGCATATGAATGGGAGAAGCATTTTACAAAATAATATATCGTGTAATGCATTATTCGTTATGTAAACCATTATCATACGTATCACCTAATTCGTCTAAGTGACGAATTAAAGTCTAGTTTTTATTATTATTATACTTCAAGGTTCAATATTCCGTCTTGAAATTATGGTCTCAAAAATATGTTTTGGCGTTATTCATTGGATTAAACAAAAAAAATCATAAATATTCTGGTTACATTTATATTTCTTTCAGCAATAACACCGGGTATTACTGAAATCACCCTTGAGCGTGCCGTCCCAGTGAACATCACTTCTCCAAACTACCCTTCCGACTACAACATCGGCGATAACATCGTCTGGCAGGTATCGGCCCCTGTTAACCACAGCGTCAGGCTGGACATCGTCGACTTCGCTACCGAATTTGACTTCGACACCTTGTTTGTGGGCGATGGACTGACGCCACTGACCTACACAGAGCTTGCGAGGCTCACGGGCTATGGGTTAAGGTCGATTGTGACGTCACATGGCCGCCATATGTGGCTCAAATTCTTCAGTAATTACAAACGTACTGACGTTGGATTCATGGCAACACTGAACGCTGTGGATCCGAGAGGTAATAAGATCGTCTTCGTGTCATGGTAAAATTCTAGGGATTTTATAATCTTCAGAATGATCAGATGATCATAAAATTATTTCACATCAAACATACAATTTCTCAATTTATTCTCGTTTTTCTTTTTTTATAGGAAAAAACATGCCTGTATTTCTGCCACATTTAGTGTTATCCTTTTTTGTTGTTGTAACAGGTGACAATTCTCTAATCTTGGTGAACGAGTCTACGGTCCAACAGCTACGCTCACCAGACTTTCCTCTTGTTGCAAGCGACAGCGTGCACGAGATTTGGCGGATAATGGCTCCTCAGGATCACAGCGTGAGGGCGCGTTTCGACTTCTTTAACCTCACCAACGGTTCTTCGCTTACCGTGGGCTACGGCTCGAGTCCTATAAAATTCACAATCCTAGTGGAGTTGACTGGAAGTGAATTGCCTGAAGATATTACCTCCCCCACTCAAAAAATGTGGTTTAGATTTGTGTCGAATACTGGGGACTCCAGTAGAGCGGTCGGTCCGCTTAAGGGAAGTGGATTCTTGGTGAATCTAACAGCAGAAAGGACTGAAGGTGAGATGTGTATTTCTTCTAACATCAAAACATTAATAAACTTATTCATTAATCTATAAAAACAAACATGGAAAACTCTTTTAACCTCAAAATACTTGAAATAGTTTTAAAAGGGAACCTTTATGAAGAAAAAAGCACGACAGTTGATATATTAACCATAAGAGACTAAAACAACTAAAACATAATACCTCTGCGCGACCAGTTTGCAAAATTTTGAAATATATATTGATCTTTATTACCTTATTAAAGTTGTAAAATGGACAATGTATTTTGCTATTCTTTTGCTTTTCTCAACCCAATTACAAAAAAACTTAAGACACTTTAGCCATTTTGAGGTGAAAGAATATCAATACTTTCATTACTTTTGCTAAATGAACAATGCTACTTTCCAGAAAGTAACCCTTGCCAGAATGGAGGAACATTTTCAGACATCCATGGAAGTTTACAGTGCTTCTGTCCCGAAGGCTTCAAATGGGATTACTGTCAAAAAGGTATGTCTCCCCCTCATACTTACAATATTAGTTTTCCTTACTTGTAAATCGCGTATCACATAATGATATAATCTCTCTATGCGCCCTCAAGGGGTACTCTTTGGGTGCTATTATCTCTCTTTAGCTCCGGCAAACATAGGCACTCGGTGCATTCAAGGAATAAATCCTGCCAGGTATTCCCTTTCTACACCTTGGTCAAATGTAGATAAATGTCTTGCTTAAGTACATTTACCCCGCAATAGGCATTCGAAGCCCGTACGTTATGGTTCACAGTCCGGAAACACCAAGTACAACACAACACCTTTGCTAACCGAGCTCTCATAATTTTTCCCTGAATATAAATATATATTTATATATATATAAATAATTTGCAGAAGTACCTATTTCAAAATTAAGACCAACATTTTTTGGCAAGAGCACTTTACGATTTTGTGTGCGATGTGTATGCTTAATTATGGGTGAGGGTCTTTTCAAACGGACAGCACTAAAAATATTGACAACATTTTATGCTTGAGTGAGCACTGGCTAATTTCGAAAAGCTCGTGAAAATTGGTCTGCGCAAAAATGTTTCATTCTTGATTTTGAACAAAGTGCTGTTTTCCGAGTTACACTCTCTTCGTTTTGTACAGAAATGTCACACAAAGTCCCATTTTTTCTAGCGTTGACTTTGCAAGGATGACTAAATCACTTAACTCATTTTCAAGTCGTGGAAAGCACCGTTTTATATTTTGTACATATCTTTATTGTGACCTTGTTCTCTTCTCCAACGTTCAGGTTAGGACAAGACAAATGGACTCGATACCCTCAAGACATAGCACCACGAAGAGATAGCTAGACAAGAATATAATAATTCAGTAAGGCAGTGGTGTAGCGGGGGCCTCTGGCATTACTGGGATTGGCAGTTATTTTATTAGATGTATGAAGTATAAATTGTTGAGGCTACCTACGAGGGGGAACGAGGCAGGAGACTTTATTTACTTCTTTTCACTTTTCACTTTTCCCTTCCCTTTCTCCCTTTCGTTTTTTTGTTGTATATATCGTGCCCCTTGCATTTACTTTATTGGAGAGATTTGTTCTTCAAAGTCATGAACAAGATATTGAATACGGGAAACGGGATACATGTGTATATTAAACCTCTTTATTTACCACGTGACAATGTGGCAGATCTCTAATTGGCTCATAATACTGAACCATTACTTGAATGATATTTTTTTTTCACGCTGTTTGTTATAATAGACATTGAATAGAACATATCAAACTAGTTTACCCAATTCACATGAGCTACAATGATGAAACTTGGTCAGGTTTGTTTTCCCCTTCAATACTGACATTATTAAAACATATTGCTTTTTCTATTACGGTAATGGGGTTTGGTCCTCTCAACAATACGTAAATATGTCAAAACATCTGGAATTTAATAGAAAATATACAAGATAATACCAACATTTTCTATCAGAGTCCAAATGTTTTTTTTTTTACATATCCCTTACAAGGTATATGTGCATTTTTATGACCTTGACCTGTGCATTTTTATAGATGAAATAAATCAGATGAAATAATGATGTATTCCGGGGCCTACTAAAAGCCCGTGTACTGTTTTTTTTGTTTAGTTCTGCTGGTTTCCAAACACGTCAAATTTCCTCTTCCTTTTGGTTTGTTTGTATTCTCTTATATAGAAATTATACTTTAAATGTTTCATATTTGTGGTGATAGAGAAATAATTATAACATTATAAAATAATATTACTTTATGTAGTCTAATACATTCGTGCTGCACTCGTTGTTTTGTTTTTATGTTAAAGTCAGGTGATGTTCATGAATATTGGGAAAATTTGATTTTTATAACATATTTATGGTGAGTAATCTGAAATTAGAGTTTGGCGAATGTACACTCTCTCCTTTAACAATTTTAATGTGTATGGTTCATGGTTCAAGTCCTTGACTTTGAATCGGGGGGGGGGGGGGGGTTGAGGGTTCGAATCTTTGCCGGATGCGTACAATGTACCCTCGGACTAGGCATTTGATCAATACTTGCCTCTCTCGACGTTACTATGTACATGGTACATGTATAAGGAAAACGATCACAAGTATTTCGATGACACATAAATGTATTATCAAGCTTTTTTTGTTGTGTACTGTAGCATATTTAACTCTACTCTCGATGTCACATCACATGAGGGGGCCTTAACTTATAACAAGCTGTGCTTCAACCAAGGTCTCCTCGTCCATCTTTATTCTACATTGTACTGTTATGATTATACTCTATTATATTTTTTCACATGTGTTTTTCTGGAAGACAAATAAACTTGATAATTGATACTTGATACTATGAACATGGTATATGTATAAGGAAAACGATTATATGTCGTTTTTTGATTTTTTTTTTTTTTTTAACGAAGTTTCATATTTTAGAATGCTCGTTATTCCTCAAAATTCATTCCGAAGGTTTGTAATTCTGAAGGTTCGTTATTCCCAAGGTTCGTTGCTCCAAAGTTTCGTAATTCCGAAAAATGGAAGGGGGCACACAATTCCGGAGGACTGGTTCATAATTCCGGAAAGGCGGTAGAAGTATAGAACCACATGTAATATTTGGAATCATGAACCCTATATATTTCATTTTCAGAATTATTAACCTTGTTTAATTTCCCAATTATGAAGCTTAGGAATTACGAACCTTCAGAAAAATGAGGCGTCGGAAAATCGAGCGCCATCTCTCCCCCTAGAAAACCATGATTCTTGTAAGTGGTTGAACTTGAGTATATTCCATTGTGTCCTCTTTGGCAGGACATAAAATCTACATTTGCCACTCTACACCCATTGCAAATGGGTAGTTGTTCTCTAAGAGTATTTTGTAAATAGTATTATATATTCCATATATGTTGTTGTATTCATGAATCAGTAATCTTTGTCACATCATATGAGGGGTCCTTAACTTTATAACAAGCTGTGCTTCAACCAAGGTCTCCTCGTCTTTCTTTATTTTACATTTAACTGTTATGATTATACTCTATTATATTTTGTCAAATGATAAATGGGTATTGACTTGTAAAATTCTTTTATTCGAACACATAAGTGTGAGCCTATACCGGTCGCGTAGCTTATGCCGGGATACTTTATAAGGTAATTTTCTTAGCACTTGGAAGCGCATATAAACGGAATATTGTAATGTGATATTCGCCATATAAAACGAAATGGTATCATTGTTGTGATTACTACGTAATAATGTCTTGTCTTTGTATTGATATTCCACATAATTATGCCTTTTCAATTGTACTTGTTGAATACTACTTGTTTTTCTTTTCTGGGAAAAAATAAAGCAATTATAAACAGCTGATTGCGTTTTGTCCATTGTTTCATGATTACAATATCAAAATTTTTGGTATGAAATGATTTGATATATTGTACAGTTTAAATAATATTGAATGAGGCAACTTAAAAGAAGTGGCGATATGATATGTTCATGTATAATTCTTTGTGTGCTCAACTATAATAATATTAGTTGGATAGGGAAAATGCAAATCGTTCAAAAGTACAGTTTACATTACAGGCGATAGGTCTCAGTTTTACCTAAATCCTTAAGGTAAGCCTCAAGACTTACAATAAAACTAAAGCCAATCATCATCATCATTATCATTATCATCACCATCATTATTATTAGTATCATTGTTATTACTATTATTATTATCATTATCATTTTATTCATTATCAGCATTATCTGCATCAGCGTTATTACTAAAACTATACTGCTAATACATGCGGCTGCTGTTGCTGCTACTTGCTTTTATTGTTGTTCTTGCTTCTTCTTCTTCTTCTCCTTTTCCTCCTACTTCTTTTTCTTTCTTCTTCTTCTTCTTCTTTTACTTCTATCTCTTCTTCTTATTATTCGTCTACTTCCTCATCTTTTTTTTTTCGTCCTCTTCTTCTTCTTTTCTTCATTATTTTCTTCTGAAAATCTCACTTCTGCTCCAAAAGTGTCTTGTCTTTTCTTTCAAATAATAAATTTATTACATCCAATTCTCTTTTTTAAAATTAAGACATCTGATATAAACATAGAGATCTACATGTATGTGAGATCTGTGAATAGATGATACGTCTTGGACTGATGATGTAAAGATGGGTTCGATTCCCTCTTTTTCATTTGATGCATAAATTTATCTATTTTGTAACACAGCGTTACAAATAAAATGTAGCTCATATATTTATCGTAGCAACAGGCAGTTGATATCTTTATTATAATTATGACTTAGCCCAAATTAACTTGCTGCACCTTTATTCAGTAATGTGATTTTGTACAGTAAACAATGAGTGGCATTGATATTCAATTATTATTCAGAAAAAGATGGATGGTCTATCGATCGCATGTCCAGACCTTAACCTCGGGAGAAACAATATTTCACAAGTTTATACTTTCAAGAATCCACCTGTTTTAGGGCCTTGTTTTGCATTAAGGGGTGGGGTATCAATCGTAATGAACTATTTTGATAATTTCCTGAAAATTCTTGCAGAAGTCAGTGTTAAATGACATCCTCTTTCACTTTCTTCATTATACAATTGAAGATAATTTTTGCTTGTTTTTGTTTGTTTGGGCTCCCAACACTTTAGAGAAGCTTTAACAAGATTTGATTTGTACATGGAATAATTTATTATAGGTTTAAAATCAAGGAGAAAGTATGCTTCAGAGAGAGAGAGAGAAATAAAGAGAGGGAGAGGTGAAGGATGGAGAGAAAGAGAGAGAGAGAGGGAGAGAGAGATATTGAAATAGAGGAAAGGTACGGAGAGAGAGTGACAAATTGAGATGGAAGTGCGGGACGGAGACAGAGAGAGAGAGAGAAATTGAAATAGAGGAAGAGGGACAGAGCGTTAGAGAGAGAGAGAGAGAGAGAGAGGCGTTGAATTGAGAGAGCATGAGGGAGAGAAAGGCGGAAAGATAGAAATGGATGATATAGGTGAGAGGTGAGAGATGGAGAGAAAGAGAGATAGAGAAATTGAAATAGAGGAAAGGGATGGAGAGAGATTGAGATGGAAGAGAGGGACGGTGACAGAGAGAGAGAAATTAAAATAGAGGAAGAGGGACAGAGAGTTAGAGAGAGGGGGCGTTGAATGGAGAGAGCATGAGGGAGAGAAAGGCGGAGAGGTAGAAAGGGATGGGAAGGGATAGAAAGAGTCAGAGGAAGGGCGGTGGTGGGTGTTAATTTGCAGACATGACGGTAAAGCACAGATATGGGGAGAGAAAGAAGTGTCGGAGACCCAAAAAACGGAATCGTAGAATTAAAGGGCTTTCATCGAAAGGGTGCGGTGCGGTGCGGCGCGGTGTGGTGTGCTCAACGCACCCATTCGATAAAAGAGGGGGGCCTTTTCTCGAAAGGGTGCGTTGAGAGCGGAGTACCGTTTTAACACACCCTTTCGATGAAAGCGGGGGGGCTTTTCTCGAAAGGGTGCGTCGACTAGTCTTTCGCATCAGTCGTTTAAAATGAGGATCTCGGACAGAAGGTAATAGTTGCCAATTTAAGTATATCGAAAATGTATTAAATAAAATGGTCTTGATTACAGAGTGGTCTTTTTCGTTATTACTATGTTGATGGGGGAGACAGAGAGAAGGAAAAAAGGGAAAGGGAAGATAAAAGGAAAGAAAGAAGAATAAGAAGAGAAGAGGGAAAGGTGGGGGGGGGGGGGCGAAGGACTCTTGCCCCCCCCCCCGCCAAAAAATAAATCAGAGAGAGAGCTAGAGAAGGGAAAGGGAAAGAGAAGATAAAAGGAAAGAAAGAAGAGGAAGAAGAAGAAAAGAGGTAAACGGGGGCAAAGGGCTTTTGCCTCCCCCCCCGCCAACAAATAAATAGGAGAGAGAGAGAAGGGAAAGGGAAAGGGAAAGAGAAGATAAAAGGAAAGAAAGAAGAGGAAGAAGAAGAAAAGAGGGAATTACGTGGACAACTGAGGGCTTTTGCCTCCTCCCCCCCCCCCCGCCAACAAATAAATAGGAGAGAGAGAGAGAGAGAGAGAGAGAGGAGGGAAAGGGAAAGGGAAAGAAAATATAAAAGGAAAGAAAGAAGAAGAAGAAGGAAAGAGGGAAATGGGGGAAGGGCAAAAGGCTCTTGCCTCCTCCCCCCCCCCCCCGCCAAAAAAATAAATAAGAGAGAGAGAGAAGGGAAAGGGAAAGAGAAGATAAAAGGAAAGAAAGAAGAGGAAAAAGAAAAAAAAGAGGGACACGGGGGCGAAGGGCTCTTGCCCTCCCCCCCCCCCGCCAAAAATAAATAAGAGAGAGAGAAGGGAGAGGGAAAGAAAATATAAGAGGAAAGAAAGAAGAGGAATAAGAAGGAAAGAGGGAAACGGGGGAAGGGCGAAGGGCTCTTGCCCCCCCCCCCCCCCCCCCCCGCCAACAAAATAAATAAGAGAGAGAGAGAGTGAAGGGAAAGGGAAAGAAAATATAAAAGGAAAGAAAGAAGAGGAGAAAGAATAAGAAAAGAGGGAAACAGGGGCGAAGGGCTCTTGCCTCCTCCCTCCCCCCCCCCCCGCCAAAAAATAAATAAGAGAGAGAGAGAGAGAATCTGTTCTGATCCTGGTCCTGATCCTCAAGAGGGATATAAAGATGACCAATAAGAACGTTATCGTTCGAGAGAGAGTGTTTGTTGCTTCTAGAACATTTTAGAATTAAGTCCCATCACATTGCAGTTGTGGGGAGGGACTATGGAAAGAAGGTGAGTCGATATATATCCGTCTTCTGCCGTGTTCTGCCAGTGTCACAAATAGATATATAAATATGCTCATCTGACGATAATTTGATGTATAAAACCCCTCACCTTCTTGGGTCTCCACCCCTTGGATCCAACACCAATTTGTGTCCTTCCAGTGTCACAAATAGATATAAAAATATGCTCATCTGACCGTTATTTATTGCCCAAAACCCCTGAGCTTCCGGGTGCTCCACCCCCTGGACCCCACGCCAATTCGTG